TGGACAAACTGAGATTGAGAATATTATGTATAATGTTTTGTTGGTATCTTTGTCTGGATGTAGTGCTAACTCCACATTACGTTTTCTCAAAAATATACATTTCATTCTCAGAAATACTAAAAAAGACACTAAGTTATTCGTGTGCTGGCCCTTGCCAGCCTTGCACCACCCGTCATATGTGAGGGGGTGGCACACTGAAGCAGACTGTTGTGTAGTACTTTTGCCAGCTACAAAATGTTGCATAAGAGGGGTATAAATAAACTCTCTCCTGAGCACAGATGGCATTGTAGAACACCTGTGGGTAAAGGGCCCCCACAAACCAGCTTTATGCTGGTGGATTTGGAAACTAATCTTATCTTGAAGAAAAACCTACTAACCTTCGTGCTTCCTGGTTATATTTGAGCCTTCGAGAGCTGGGAAATGAATGTTGGGTTATTATTCTAAAATAACCTGTTATACCACATGGCGAATAGAATTGTAACCAATCCACATTCATGATGAGGGGAAAAGGCCTCACTCACAGTCAGTATTCTAATTCATCCCACAGGTATTGAGGTCAGTCAAGTTGTTCATCAAAATAGGAAAACCACTACTTTATTGACAGGGCTTTGTGCATGGAAGCATTGTCAGGACCAAACATGAACTGCTGACTCAAAGTTAAAACAGAACACTGTTGCATAAAATATCCTGCATAAAGCATAACCAGCTACTGCATTCAGTGATTCCGCCCCATTCATTCTGATTTAAGCTGCTCACTCAGTGCATTTGCTAAAGGAGACTCCATGGGATTCCTCACGCTTCCATGCTTGTGGGCACATAACGCATGTTCACTAGAGTCCCTCTTCACTGAAGCCAAGACTTCCACTGGCCAAGTTTCTTCTTCGCTCATCACACACATGAATACAACAGACTTTCTTAAAGTTCCTGACCCAAACAAATCAAATTCTGATGAGAACAATCATTTCAGGGGAGCTTTGTGATGCTCATTCATAGTTTGTTCACAGTTTTACAGATGGCCCTTTTCTATGGAGTGTGTATTTAATTCATTAATTCAATTTGATTTTGTTCATATAGCTCCAGTTTACAACATATGTCATCTCAAAGCATGCTACTTTGTCTGCAGCTGCCTCTCTTTATCTGTAGGCACCACTTTGTGGATACAAGCCTTTGCGACTGGTAACCACTTCCCAGCTCGGTTCTGGTGCGCACGGGCCCCACACATAGGATTAGAGTTATTTATCACAGAATAAGCTTCAAATCTCAAGTGACTGAGGAATGCTCCACCCTCACCCCTGCATG